CTCCTTGGAGTCCTCCGTGAGATCCATGCAATCCGAGAGGAGCGCTTGGGTCTTGGAATCGCTGAGGTGGTCGTCGCGCTGGTATTTCTTCACTGTGACTCGCAGCTTGGAGATGGCCAGGCTGCTGGAAACCATCACCTTTCGCAGCCCCTTGGCGTCCGGCGGCGCCGCTTGATCGTTATCGCCGCCGCCATCGTCCCCAGCGGCCACCAGAGTGGAGCTAGAGCACAAGAGCAGCGCCACCGCCGCTGGAAACACGAACCAGATCGAGATTTTTGGCTGCATTGTGTGCCTATCCCTGTCTATCCTATCGAGCGATCGATCGCTCGCCAAGACCACCACCCTGCTTGAGAAATCGAGTTCACACCTTAGAGATACCGCCGCTTTTCAAGGATCTGGGAGAGTTTGTTCCAAAGACCACTACTTGTTCGCTTCCAAAGCGATCTACATAGAATCAAAGCTCGTAAGCTTCAAGCTTGGATCGATTGGAATGGATGGATGCGTAGAAGGAGTGGACCACTCAACCAAGACTCGCCAAGATCGATCTCTCTCAGTCGCTCCTTTTCTTGTTTGTCTCTCGCTTTTGGTTCTCGCCAAGGAGGAAGAAGAAGAAAAAAAAGAAGAAGAAGGGAAAGGTCTTCTCGAACAACAAAACCACGCCCTCTGGCCACAATGTGGTGTGTACAAACGGACCCACTTCCCAACAAACACGCTCCAGTGGATCCCAGCCGTTGGATCGCCAGGCATGGGAGCTTCTCCCCAAAGTTACTCTGGCTGGAGCGAAATAAAAAAAGTTGAAAGTTTCAGGGGTGAAAAGTTTGCCTTCGTTTCGTTGCGTTTGTTTGCTTGCATTGTTCCTTACTTCTGTTGCAACCACCACTACTATGATAGGTGAGAAAGGTAAGAAAAATGTGATAAGGTGGTGGTGGTAATCTTAAAGGTGGTGGTGGTAATAATGTTAAAATCTTGCAAGTATGCGATTCCCATCCAGCCATTATAGTTCGTTGGTGGTGGAGGCTAGTGGGTCTTAAAATTGTTTGGACAGCTCCAAGGTTTGGAACGTGATAGATTGAGTGACAATCTCGTACGGTTCTAACAGAAGCACGCTGTACGGGACCACCTCACAAAACAAACGTGGATTAGCATTGACACTGGATTAGTGGAAAGCGTTTTGCAAGTGGCCACGTAGCATCAACACGTGCCGCGCATGCACAGGCGCCACCATAGCTGCCTTCTCTTCGTTTTCTTCATCGCTATCTCTTCTCCATACCTGGGAGGAACATCATCAAGTGTAAGTAGCGCGCGCGCGCGAGAGAGACGAAGAAGGAAGATCAAGGGAGCGTCGAGCGTGGAGAAATTTACCTCTTCAAGGCGAGTTTCGATTTTTTTTTCTGTGTAGCAAGCTATGTCTTCCGCCGGAGGTGAGGAGCGTCAATCCTATGCTGCCGCTGCCAAGAAGCCAGCCAAAGTCGAGGATAGTGATAGCCTTGCCTCCGACATAGCCAAGAGGAAGACTGGAGATCCGGGAGCTTACGAGCGAGTGTCGTCGAAAGGTCCCAGCTACGAATCCTCGTTGCCGGAGGTTAGTTCTGGATGGTTTTCCTTCCCTGTTCTTGGTTAGGAAAGTGATCGATTCCTCTGTCCCCTTGATCTTCCAGGATAAAGAACCTGCTGCCAAAGAACCCCCCTCCGCTGACAAGCTGAAGAAGCCACTGATCATTACTGGCGTTGTTCTCGCTCTAGTGGGTGCGTTCATTGCGCTGGTTGTCAAGTCCTCCAAGGATGAAACCAGCAGCAGCACTAACAGTGACACAAGCCGAGTCGATTGATTTTTAAATGGATGATGTCCTCTCTGCCTCACCTTACGCTGTGTACAAAGTTGCCTTTGCTCTGACAGCACCCAGTCTATCACTCGTTGGCTGTCGGCCATGCCCGACTTACAGTATCATACATTCATGTTCTGTTTTCTTCGCATTCCATTTCGTCTTCCTCTACAGTAATATAAGTTAGTGCGCCATCGAAGACTCGCCAGACTAGCTACTTACCTGCGCTCCAAGCGCTCCAAGTGCGACTGGTTAAATCCAACTGTAAGACTCAAAGTTAGTTTCTAAGAACTACAAACCGTAGTAGAATACACACCTGTTTGTTCAAACTGTAGAGAAGAAAAGTCTGTCCTGACCACCACCGTGTCCGTGCGTGGCTTGAATGCGCGTTTCCAGAAAGATTTCCATACAAAGGCGCAGCAGGCCCATGCCACATGGGACGATCTAAAAAGTCAGAAAGATGAAAAGACACAAATCCACAAAAAGCCATGGCAGAAGCGGAAACCTTGCAAAAGCCTGCTAGAAGAGCTGAAAATTCTGGTATTTCGTGACTAACCTTGGTACACTACCCGACCGTTGTCTCCAGTAGGCGCCGTCCGAGCGAAAGGCCGGCTTTCATGCCATCAACAGCGGCACTCACAATCCCACCGGCATAGCCAGCGCCTTCACCAACTGGATACAACCCTTGTATAGAGACGCTCTCGCAAGTCTCTGCATGTCGCTCTATCCTTACGGGCGAGCTCGTCCTTGTCTGCAATAACAAAGTATTATTACTTTCGAGGACGTGCGTTTTCAAAGAAAAGCTACTTACCTCCACTCCATGAAGAAGCGCCCGGCTGTCGATAAAGCCATGCAGCTGCAAGAGTCGTAGACTCGTGTCAGTACCAAAACTCGAAAGACCAACCAAGCGGAGAAATGTAGCGAAGAACCTGCTGGTTGAACTTTTCAGTCGCGTTCTTTAAAACCGCTGTCAAATATCCAGGGAGCAGCTCGTGGAGGGGAGCTTCTCGAACGCCTAGTCTATAGCTGGATGTTGGAAGCTCGTTGCCTGCAAAGAATAGATGTAAAAGTAACGCTTGTTGTAGTTTTAGTACCTGCAATCTTATCATCCAGGAAATCTTTCAATGTCTGAGCAGGCACAACAAAATCTCCACCTCCTAGGAGTGCTGCATCCCTCTCTATCGCTCTCTGCGGTTTGGAATCTAGATACAAAGCCTTATAGGTAATGTCACGCTACCTGAAATGCAACACCAGCAAGAGACCCATGCCCGTCCCTGAAAGGCTCCACATCTTTTGACGTTACGTTGACGACGAGAGCGGCATTTGCCCACTTGGATGCACGTTTCGAGAAGGACATCCCGTTAATACAAAGATGCAGCGGGTCCGTGCTAGTTGGAACGATCTGGAGAGAACAAAAGGTGAGAAGAGAAAGCATGGAAAATCAAAGCTCAACCTGGCCACCGGGACACATGCAAAAAGAGTAGCACGAGCGGAGCTCGTCGGAATTTATCGAAGCAGCAACCTTGTAGTCGGCCACAGGGACTTTTCCTTTGCCACTTTGAACTTGAGATGCCCATGCACGATACTGTGATAAAGGTTGTTTTGTTTAGAAAGTAAATGGCTCATGTTATTGTTTTCTTTACCCGCATTTGGTTTACCAGCTCCTGGGGATGTTCAACACGCAAACCAACCTGTTACATAAAAAACCACTGCGTCAATCGCATCGAGACAAAAATAAAAAAGGATTGTAAGAAACACGCGGCTTACAGCAAAATCTTTGGCAGACAGCAACACGCCATGAGATAATAGCATCTCATACGTGTTCCGGGCGGAATGGCCGACAGCAAGAACAAGAGCATCGCAACTAAGAGTTGCCGTCGTAGTTTTCTCCAAGTCGGTGACTTGTATACCACTCACCCGACCATTTCGTATCACAATATCTTCCATTCTAGTTCCAAACATTAGCTCAACCTGCATTGATGTGATAAAAGACGCATACAATGAACCAAGCTTACCCCCAGTGTCTTCAAGTGATTACGAAGGCCACGGAGAATGTGGACAAGCTTATCAGTTCCGATGTGTGGTTTTCCTTCAACGAGTATACCATCTGATGCTCCAAAGCGAACAAGTGTTTTGAGCACCTGTCATGTCCATGAATAAGAAAGGAAGAAGGGAGAAAGAGAAATAGTCACTACCGTCTGAACGTCTTCACTGTTTTTTCCAATCCTTGTTGTAAGCTTTCCATCACTCCACGTACCTGCGCCTCCCTAAAGTTTATACTGCGTCCATCATCAAGAAACCACGATAAATATGATTTATACCTCTCCGTAGCAAAAATTGCTGTCTTCCTTTAAAATGCGCCTCACCATGAGGCTTCCAATGTGCCGGCCTCGGGTCTCCACCGGATAACCTCTCTCCACCAATGTCACTTGCACTCCCATTTCAGCCAGTGCCAGTGCCGCAAAAAGACCGGCTGGTCCACTTCCAACGACCAAAACTCTTGTTTTGGAGCTGTGGTGAGATGGAAAACCTTTCCCACCAAGTTGAGCCATCTCCACCAAGTCCATTGCAGCTGCTCCACGTTTGAGAAACTCGACGACACCGGGATCCTGCTTCATCCTTGACAGGAAACTCCAGCTTCTAGGCTGCTCGGACACCAATCTGGTGACATTCAAGTCCACAGTGTACACAAATCTTGGCTCCTGCAGATAACAGCAAATCCAAAAGGTAAACATTAGGCAAAAAGCTTGAATAAAGCTAGAATAAACAATCACCCTGCGTGCGTCGAAAGACTTGCGCACTACTGACAGTGCATCCCGAGACAAATGGGCTGACTGACAATGTAATCAATCACAAACAAAAAAAAAAAAAATATGAAAAGAAAAGATCAGCAGAGAGAAAGAAGGAAAGAATATGAAAAGGAGAAAAAAAATCAGCAGTTACCTTGCAACCAATGCGTTTGCTAAGAACTTGAAGAAGGCCTGGAGAAATATCATAGCAGTCCTTCCCGGGATCATTCTCCACAGCCACCTCCAATCTGGAAAACCTCCAGACCCCAAGCTTGGAGTTCTTCACGCTGCCTGTAACCACACTCGAGAGAAAAGTGTGCTGTTGCAAGGAGCAAGAAACACCCAAGAGCAGCACCATAGGATTCTATCTACAGACCCAACACCAGGATAGTATTTTCCAAGGATTTCATTGATGCGAGAAGACCACAGCCAAGGCAACGCTGCAGCATAGACAATACATAGGAACCAGGCACACACACCATACCATGCCAGGCAGCTTAAAAGGATATGAGCCCACCCTAGCCTGTTCTAAGGATAATGTGAGCTCCACTGTCAGAGTCGACAATGCCGCTCAATTCTCCCACCTTGAGACTATACGTGGCCTCCTCGAAAGATTTTTGCATCTGCCCTCGACCAAACCATCCTGGAATCGAGAAGAAACCATTGTATCACGAAGAACAATGAGGTAAAAAGCGCTAACCGAGATCGCCGCCACGCTTGGCCGACGAGCAATCCGAGAGCTGCGTCGCAAGATCGCTGAATTTGGCGCGGCCGCTGAGAATTTCGTCGCGGATGTGCTCGAGCTTGGCGACCGCCTGCTCGTGCGTCGTGTTCTGGATCACCAGGCCCTCGGGATCGCGCCACGACGCCGGGCGCCGCGATCCCTGATGCTTCACCAGCAAGTGGCTCGCGCGGACCTTGCCGCCGCTACCGCCATCGCGCTCCATCCCTGCGCCTCGCGATCGATCACACAGCCACAGGCACGAATGAAAACCCTAGCGCCAAGAACACAACGATGATTCTTAGTGCCACTGCTCCTAGTACCTCGAGGAGCGATATTTCGAGCGATATTTCGCCATGGCGATCGATCGAGGAGGAGCACGATGCCGTGGTCAGCTGGACCAGGAAGATCGCCGCCGCCGCGACGATCTCGCCAAGCGCCGGGATCACGCGCTTCCAGCAAATGCAGCACTGCGGGATCAAGCCCGACAAGGTGACCTTCCTCACACTGCTCAACCTGTGCGCCAAGCCGGGCGGCCTGGATCACGGCCGCGCGATCCACCGCCTCCTCCTCCTCCACATCGCCGCCACGGATCGCGACCTCGACCTCCCGCTCGCCAACGCCGCCGCAGACATGTACTGCAAGAATGGCCGCCTCGACGAGGGCCGCGGCGTCTTTGAGGCTCTCAAGCACCGCGGCGACGTGATCTCCTGGAACGCGATGATCACCGCCTATGCCCAGCACGGGCATCCCCGGGAAGCTCTTCATCTCTTCCACGCCATGGAGCTCCACGGCATCGCCCCAGACGCTGTCACTTACACGCTCCTCCTCAGTAGCATCATCGCCAGCCAAGATCTTCGCTCCAGCTCCAGCGCCAGCTCCGTGGAGTTCTTCCACGATCGGATCCGCCGGGATGGACTGGAGCTCGACTTGATCGTTGGAACCGGGCTCGTCAACCTGTATGCCCACCTTGGGCATATGAGCGCGGCCGCCGCCATCTTTGCCAAGCTCGTTGGATCTTCCTCCTCCGGCGGTGGAGATGTGGTTCTCTGGACGACCATGATCGGAATTTACGCCCAGCGCGGCGAGACGAGCGCTTCTCTCCACCACTTTCGGACGATGCAGCTCCACGGCGTGAGGCCCAACCGAGTAACTTTCATCACCGTCTTGACTGCCTGTTCTTCCCCTGCGTGGTTACCAGTCGGGATCTGGATCCATCGCCACCACCACCACCGCCGGCAATCCTCTCGGCTCGAGACCAGCATGGGAAACGCGCTGATGAGCATGTATATCAAGTGTGGCGAGCTGCGAGCCGGGAAGAGAGTCTTCGACGAGATGGAGCGGCAGCGGGACGTGATCTCCTGGAACACCATCATCGCCGGGTATGCTGCCGAGGAGCAGCAGCAGCTTGTCAAAGCCTTTGAGATCCTGTGGGAGATGCTGCAAGACGGTGCCACCAAGCCGGACTGTATCACCATCGTGACGCTGCTCAACGCTTGCAACAAGCCGGCACTGCTCGAGCACGGGAAGTTCCTCCACTCACTCGTCCCCGACTGTGGCGTCGCTGTGGATCCTGTGCTCTTCAACGCTCTCATCCATATGTACGCCAAGTGTGGGAGCTTGGAAGCAGCGTCGCAGATGTTCCAGCAGCAGCAGCGTCAGACCGAGGCCTCGGTGTGGGGAGCGATGATCATCGCATTGTCGCAGCAAGGACTCCACCGGCAAGCCATCCAACTCTTCCAGCGGATGCAGCAGGAGGGAGTGAAACCGGACAAAGTTGCCTTCACTGCTGCTCTCGATTCGGCCGCCACTGCTCTCGACGACTCCTCCGCGGCTTCCACCGCCAGAGGCTTCCACGCACAGGCTCTTGAGAGCGGTCTCTTGCAAGGCAACGCTGTCGTAGCCACCGCGTTGATAAATCTTCTCGGCAACACCGGAGCTATGGCCGAAGCATACACCGTCTTCACCAACGTCGTCGAGCGGGACATCGTTTGCTGGAACGCGATGATGTCCGTCTATGCGCAGCACGGCCATACCACCCGAGCTCTCGACCTCTTCCAAGAGTTGCAGCACCAAGGCATGGGTCCCAACGACGTCACCTTCGTCAGCTTGCTCTCCCTGTGCAGCCATGCCGGACTTTTGGACGCGGGAATCCAGTGCTTCCTGTCGATGACCATCGATCACAGCCTTCAGGTGCTCACCCCGGAGCTCACAGGCTGTGTCATTGATCTCTTTGCTCGAGTTGGAAGGCTGGCCGATGCGCACGACTTCATTGGGAGGATGCCGCGGGAGCAAGCTCGAGTCATCCAGTGGATGTCGCTGATGTGTGCTTCCAGAGTCCAAGGGGATTTGGAGCTAAGTGGCTGCGCTGCCAAGGAAGTCTTGGAGCTTGATCCTAGCAACCCAGCTGCGTATGTCGCATTGTCCAACCGGCAATCCACCTATGCTGTTCTAGCGACGACGTAAGTTTGTCTGATAAAAAAAGAGAAGAGACTGGTCAGGTCAGGCAAAGAAAAAAATCCCAGAACTCTTACGTTTGTTCGCTCACAAGCTATTGTATAGTGTCTGTCAGACATGAAAAACTCCACGTCAGTGGCATATAAGGAGAAGAACAAAATGTAGTTTACCGATTAAAAGATCATTCTTTGCGTGGGAAGAACAATGATCTTCCTTCTCGAACAACAATCTATCAGTCATTCACAAGAGAAGATAAACGATGGAATCTTACTTTAACACGATCGATCGAGAATTCCTCTTTCCCCGCTTAACGACCAATCCAGTTGATATCCACAAGTTAATAAAAAAACATACAGCGATTCCTTCTTTCCTTTTACGTTAGGCAGTCGAAGATCTTCGTGATCTCGACCGATCTCCTTTACATCGTCGACTGCTGGAACACTACATCACTCCACTGAGGATTTCGCGGCAGAAACGTTTCCTGGGGTGAGAGAGAGTCGATCGATTAAGCTACGAAAAGAAAGAACCCCAGGACAATCTCACCGAAATGTAGCTACAAGTCGGAATGACTCGAAATCCCTGCTTCCTGGCACAATCAAACGCGGCCTCGCACAGCTGCGCCGCGATCCCCTGCCCGCGCTTGCTCGGTGGGACATAGGTGTGCTCCAGATCGATCAGATCCGCCGATCCATCCTTCTTCTTGCTGTAGCTGAGGTACGCGGCGCCATCGGGCGTCCGGAAGCGCAGGGCCGCCTCGTCCCACACCACCGCCATAGCGCCCACCTAGAGCCCTAGAAAAGGAATATGCGCCAGCGGGGACGCATATTCCCGGCCCATTGCCTACGACTACTTAATTGTTAGGGTTTCGTGATATTTTGAGTCTTGCGAGTGAGAGATATGAGGGCGGCGGTGGCGGCGGCGGCGGCTTAGGAGATGAGCTCTCGACGTTCTGCGAGCTAGGGTTTGATCGGGATCGATGAGTCCGTCCTCGCAGCTCACGGCGGCGACCGCCAACGGCACCGCGGCCGCCGTGAGGCCGGAGAAGAAGCAGCAGCTGGAGGCAGATCTTGCGACAATCGAGCAGCTGATAGCTCGAATCGCGCGGCTGGAAGATCTGGCGGCGGCGCGCAACAGCAGCGGCAGCAGCCGAAGCCAGCAGGAGGAGATTGTGGCGGAGGAGCGGCCCCAGCAGCAAGGGCAGCAGGCGGAGGAGCAGCATCCCTGGGATGAGGGCTCCGGCGAGAGGCAATCTTCGTCTCACGGAGGCGAGGACACAGGTAAGGGCGTGCCTCCCAGTGATGTAGCTTTTACCAAGGAGCGTAGTGCAGTTGGGGCTCGAATGACCGTTGCATCGAGCAGCTCGGACATCCGAGCGGCCGGGCACAAGAGAGGAGAAGGGGAGGCTGCTGGGCCGGCCATGGCCAAGAAACCCAAGCTCTCGGAGGAGGAGGATCCGGTGAGCGAGGGGAGCTTGAGCCGGCGAGTCGGGGGTGATGCCGCCGACAACGGATCCAATCACACCATGTCCACTCTCCACTCGAGCGAAGAGACGAGCTCCCAGCGCAGGGACGACTACGAGCTACACAAAGACGCCTGGGACAAGGCTCTCCGCGTCCTGGAGGATCTTCGCAACTACAGCAAGGAGGGTTGGGTGTTTTGCCAGCCCGTCCAGTCGCTGTGGCCGGAGCTCGTGGATTACACCAAGGTGATTGAGAAGCCCATGGATCTGGGGACCGTCAAGAGCCGGGTGCAAAGCAAGTACTACTCGAGTCCCAAAGGTTTTGCCCGTGATGTGAGGCTCACTTTTGACAACGCCATCCGGTTCAACGCGGCGGGTTCTATGTATCACAAGCTCGCTCTGAAAATGCGGCAAAAGTTTGAGACGGCTTTTAAGGCGGTGGAGCGGCTTTACAACCGGCCACCCAAGCCGGCGGCCAAAAGTAAGATCAGGCCGCTTGTGGAGGTTGCTCCCCCGCCGCCGCGGCAGAAGATCGAGATGGTCGAGCAGAAACCCGTCGTGGCTCCGGTGGTGGAAGTAATCGACGTGAAGCAACCCGAGGTTCTGGAAGTGAAAGAACAGGTTGCTACTCCTGTGTCTCGAGCGAGGGATCTCGAATTTCCTGCGCCGAAGGCTAAGAAGGTGAAGCTCATGGGGACGAACCCCCGACTGGGACGGCAAGCCAACAGTCTGGCTTACGGTGGCTGCCGGCTCCTCAGCGCGAAAGAGAAGGCCAAGCTCTCGGAGCTCGTGGATTCGTTTCCGGAGGACAGGATGAGGAAGGTGATTGAGATAGTCGGGGAGAAGCATCCGGAATTGGTCGGTGCCCCGGAAGTGGAGCTGGACCTGGACAAGCTAGACAAGAACACGTTGTTCAATCTCTATCGGCTGGCGATGAACTGGCAGAAGAGCAAGAACAAGGTGCTGGCCAAGTCGAAGAGCTCGCTCACGGCCGAGGACTCCCTGAGTGATGGTCAACAGCGGATGCTCATGGACAACAGCGACAACATCGACATCGTTGGCCTGGATTCTCCAGAGCGCGAGAATGGTGGCGAGGAGGGCGAAGAAGCCGGAGAAAAGAAGACCGATGGTGGAGGAGATAAGGAAACGTCCAGTGACTCGGACTCCGAAACGGGAACAAGCTCCTCCAGCTCCGAGTCGTCCGGGTCCTCGTCGGATTCGGAGCTTGACTCGGAAGGGGAGGCCGAGGCAGGGTCGGACAAAGACAAAGGCTAGTAAGCTCGATCTCGATCCAAGGTTGGAGGCCAGGAGCAAAACAAGGCCCAAGAATGGATTGGACGGATGGAAGTGTACACTAGAAGCAAGCAAGCAAGCAAGCACACTGGGAGAATAAGTCTTCATTGAGTTCTCTGGAAATGCGGCTAGGCAAGTTTGGCGGCGGCAACTTTTGCTAGCCGGGAGGATCCGTAGAGGGTCTCTTCGAAGCGGATGATCTCGGCCTTGGAACCGTAGGCGACCTGTGTCCTGTCGTCGGTGTTGACAACGAGCTTGTCGAGGACTGATTGGTGGCCATCGCTGCTGAATCCTCCGGCGTTTTCGATGAGGAGGCCGAGCGGCGCTACCTCGAAGAGCAGCCGGAGCTTGGCCTTGGTACTGGGTGAGGTAACGTTGGTGAAGACTCCTTTCTCCTTGACGATGATCTGTGACAGACAGACGAAGAAGAAACAAGAGCTCTCGTATCGATCGATCAAATCAAGCTCGAGAACGATGAAAAGCTACCTGGTTTACGTCCGGCACCATTCCTCCTGTGTACCGCAGCGTGTATCTCTCCGTGACGTAGTAATTGATGAGCTGAGAAGAACACACCAACAAACAAACGATGAGAAGTTTTAAGTTCTCTCTTTCGTACGAGGAAGAGTTCTCTGCCGTACCTTTTCGTACTGTGGATTGTCAAAGGTTGCTCGAAGGTTTCCTGGCGAGAAGAGTTTCCCTTCGCCAATGGAGGTTGTCTCCTTGACGTGTTGCCACTTCCCTGATATTGGGATGAATGTAAAGAAAAGTTCTAATTTAAAAAAGGTGGTGGAAGTTTTGCTACCATCGTCCAAGAGGAGGAACTCGTGGGTGCCCGGATGGCCCTTGATTGCCATGACGTAGGTGGTGCGAGGGCCGTAGATTCCCATGGCGGCCGCGACTTGATCGTTCCCGGTGACCCCGGTGAGTTTATCGCCCGGCCAAACTCCAAAGATGGTTCCCACGGTGAAGTTCGTGTCAACAATGCTGGATCCATCGAGTGGATCGAATGCGACGCTAAATCCTCCTGGAAGATCACAGATATAGATCACCCGAAAGTTTGGAGAGAAATCCTCTATCAAAGTCGTCGGAAAGATCTAAAATACCTTCCACGGGTCCTCCCATATCGAGGAGCTCAGGATCTTCCTCGGAGCAAGCGTACTTGCAAACGTGGGAGAACCTCAAGGCCTGGATTCACGAGGGGGGATCTTTGAGAATCTTTTCGGCATTGTCTGTCCGTACGAGAGGCCTACCTCGAAGAGGAGCTTGTTGGCGAGGAGATCGACGGCCAGCTGCTCGTCGCCGAATGTGTTGACGCACGCCGTGGCACCGCACGATGCGGTCTTCACCTTGAACGAGATCGTACGGATGGCCTCTCCCATGCAAGTGAGCAGCCTCGCGAGGCTCTTGTCTTTGGTGGATGTGGCCAGGAATTCCTCCTGGGCGATCACGAATTCGTTCGCATTGGAGCTAGGGAGAGGGGATCTTTCGACTTCTTACCAGGGAATCGCCCAGCTCCGCGCGAGGAGCTCCCATTCTCACTCCTCTGCCGCTGCTGCTCGACGATCTAGACGACAGCGTCGCGTGGAAATTCGCAATGGAGCTCCCGCCAGACATGAATCCGCTGGACGACGCGCCCTGCAAGCGCAAGGATTCCACGATTGGATGGTCGGGACCTCACCGAATCTGTGGGACGAGTGATCAGTGTACCTACGAGCTTGGATGAATTGGAAATCGCAAAGAGGAGCGCTGGATTGACCCCATTTTGCTGCTGGGCCGCTGCCATGGTCGCCATTCTTGCTGCGCTCGTCGCTCCAACGATCGTCGCCATTGCCGATCAAGGATCCTCCACCGCTCGCTTGCTCGATTGGATGGATAGAATGACCGTGGCTCAATAAGAGAGCCACGTCAGCAAATGTCCCGTTGGCTAAAAGCGATAAAAATCTGCCACGCGGGCAAGGGTTTTGGTGACGTGGCAGTTGCTAGGGTTTTTCCACTAATGGGATGGAAGAAGAATGCGATGGCGCTGCTCGAGCTTGGAGCAATCCGGCATAATCTCGGCACTCAAGGTATGCGTGAGCTATGGGGATATATGGCGCGGCAGGGAAATCCATTGGGAAGTGATCACCAATGCGCGGCATTTGCTCGATATCAGGGTCGCCAACACGCTCATCAGCATGTACGCCAGATGCGGCAGCGTCGCGGACGCTCGCGCGGTGTTCGAGCGATTGCCGTGCCATCACGTCGTTTCTTGGACGAATTTGATCCTGGGATACGCGGGAAACGGGGAAGAAGCTCTGGCGCTGGAAATCTTTCGCAGCATGGAGAAGAGAGGGGTTCATCCGGAGGCTAGAACTTTTGTGGCTGCGTTGGCAGCTTGTTCTGGTCTTGCTGTGAAGGAGGAAGGGATTTTAGTCGGGGAAAAGCTTGTGAAGCTCGCGAGCTTGGAGCAGGGAATGGATCTACACTCAGTGGCTTGCAAAAGGATGTTTGACGAGGACATCTTCGTGAGGAACACACTGATCGGGATGTATGCCAAGTGTGGAAGCTTGGTCGACGCGAAGATGGTTTTCAGTCGCATGGAAGCACACAGCGCTGTTTCCTGGAACGCTTTGATACTTGGCTACCTCGACAATGGCGAAGCTGGGCTTGCGCTTGAGCTCTTTGCTCAGATGAAAGAAGAAGGGTGTGTTCCAGACGCGAGAACTTTTGCTGCGGTTCTCATGGCCTGTTCATCGTTGGGCTCTGAGAAGAACTTGGAAGAGGTGATGAGCATCCACTCGCTAGCAGCTTCGACGGCCGGAGGAATAGATATGTACGTGGACAATGCGCTGGTTGGAGCCTATGCCAAGTGTGGGAGCATGGGAAATGCTCGCGAGGTCTTCCAGAGAATGCCGTGCCACAACGTTGTTTCATGGACAACTATGATCCAGGCGGAGGCCGAGAGTGGCAGCTCCGAGGCGGCTCTGCGAACTTTCGAAGCCATGAAGATCGAAGGCTATGCTCCAAATGCCCGGACTTTCCTGGCGGTGTTGATGGCCTGTGCCAAACTCGTAGCGACGGAAGAAGTGATCGTGATCGACGAGAAGCCTCTCAAGAACAAGTGCTTGGAGAAGACAAAGGACGTTCACTTTTACGCCATGGAGTCACGCTGTGTGGACATCTTCGTGGCAAACTCGCTAGTCGACGTCTACGCGAGTTGTGGAAGCATGGGAGACGCTCGAGCGGTGTTCGAGCGAATGCCTTGCCACAGCGTGGTCTCGTGGAACATCCTGATACAAGGCTACGCCGAAGCACACGGCTGCGAGGGCGAGGCTCTACTCCTCTTCGAAAGGGTGCCAAGTCCAGACTCGAGAACTTTTGTGGCGGTGCTCACGGCCTGTGCTGCTCAAGCCGAGAAAGAAGTTCCGGAGATAGAAGGCGAGGTGATTAAGCCGAGAAGCTTGAAGAATGGACAAGAGATCCATTCCCGAGCTGCGAAGCTAAGCATGGACACAGAACTCCACGTCGAGAACAGCTTGGTCGACATGTACTCGAGGTGTGGCAGCATGTCCGACGCTTGGAAAGTGTTCGAGCTCATGAGCCATCGCAACGTTACGTCGTGGACGGCATTGATCCAGGGCTACGTCCAAGCCAACCAAGCTCGTCTCGCTCTCGAGCTCTTCCAGGAGATGACGATTACGTGCCAGCCGAACTCTCGGACTTTCCTCGCGGCTCTGGCGGCGTGCGGAGAGCTCGCTTGGCTGCCGAGTGCTCGCTTCATCCACGCCGAGATTTGCAAGCGCGGGCTACTCGACACGGACGCTCCACACTTTGTGGAGGCGAGCTTGGTGGACGCCTACGGCAAGTGTGGCAGCATGGTGGACGCGGAGATGGTGTTCGATGCGATGCAAACGCCGACGACTGTTTCGTGGGGGGCTCTCATGGCTGGCTTCAGTCGCTCCTGCGATCACGGCAAGCTCCGGGTCTTCGGCCTGCTCGAGAGGATGGAACGCGAGGGTGGTGCTCCGAATGAAGTGATCTTCCTGGCGGTGCTCACGGCTTGTAGCCACTTGGGACTGATCGATCGAGGGAGGCAGTGCTTCGAGGCGATGGTGGCAGAGCATGGGATCCAGGCGGGGATCAAGCACTACCAGTGCGTGGTGGACATGCTCGGGAGGAGCAACCGAGTGGAGGAGGCCGTGGAGCTGCTGGAGCGAATGCCGGTTCCTCCGGATGGGATCACTGGGAAGACAATGCTGGCAGCCGTGTCAAAGTGGCTGGATCAGTCCCAGGAGGAGGAAATCTACGCGAATGCAAACATGAACTAGTTCTGAGCACAAACAAAGTTTTTTTTTTTTCCGATGGAAAATTGTGACGCTGAGATGGATCAAAAAAAGTTTCTTACATGGAAAGCTGTGATCCTGGATTGAATCAACTTTCTTTTTACTGGGAACTTACACAATCCATGATCACTATTCTAGTGCTAGGCTAGTCACTTTGCTCATTGAGGATCTTTGGAACTTTAATAAACACGCCTTCTTTCTCGCCAACCGAAGCAACCATCGAGTCCCTGTTCAAGCAAAGATCGATTTTTTTACTCAATTCTCATCAAAGAAAATGGATGATCACTTCTCCGTGAAATCCAAATGCTCGTCTCTCCTCAAGCCCCGTTGGCTTTCCACCTCATGACCAACCCGGATCGCGGGATCCACATTGTCAAGCTCAACCTCCTGGAGCTGGCCAAACCTTTGATCGTACAAACACTTGTCAAGAGCAAAGAAGTTCTCAGTGATTACCAGCCCACGACCCTCGAAATCTGGGGCCCGATCTCAGCAGCCTGCCATTGAAAATCTCACGAGCTGGAAAAGCTGGAAAAAAAAAAAACCAAAAACTCCATAGCCAAGCTGTGGATTTACCTCGTCGGGAGTGAGCGATAGCCGCGCCTTCTCGCAAAGCTCGCCTACATTGGGAGGCTTGACGCACCCAAGAACTCCACGACGAGATTTGCGAGCTCCAATCCTCACAAAACTTCCGCCCCAAGTGAAACTCGTCGCGCTGCTCGCCATAGCCGCGAAGAACAAGTCCGACGCTCCAAATCGTGCCACGTCTCACATCTCAAAAGCTTTGATCTATCATCGGTTGCCATCGATGTAAGCTTTGCTTTATCATCGAACCTTGACAGTACAATACGAGGTATCGCAGTGTTGGCGAATTATTTGGCAAGGAAAAGAGGTGGAAAAAGCTCAAGACGTGTTATTGGGCGAGACCGCCACGCATTGCCGACGTGTTTGAGCACTTGTTAGTTTCTGGGGCTCTTCTCTCTTGAGGTTCTTATAAATAAGCTTTCTTGTCGCAGCACTAGCTTTATCGGTGATGATACTTTGCGGTACTTCGAGGATTTCCTTGGCTCTGCCAAGATAATCGCCCAATACCTTTGGTTTTGGGAGTTTTCTAATCGTCTCTCGCGAGCCAGCGAGAACTCATAGAAGTGTGAGAACTTGACAACGCATAGCGGGTTTATAGGGCTGATTTTGGAAGCTAAACCCTAGCTAAGTTCTTGTCTCTCTTCCAGCAGATTTTCCCTAGGGCACGGAGAGAAGAGATTGTGAGCGGCGATGAGCTTGTTCCATCCCCGGTCACCGCTGCGCTCGCAGCGCCTGGAGGAGAGCAACAAGAATGTGGATTTGGGGGATCCCGAAGTGGAGGAGGAGGACGACTCTGACGACGACGGTGATGTCTTCAACATCCCTCACAAGAAGCCATCGCTGGAGGCTCTCAAGCGCTGGAGGGTAAGTCCTATGGATGGATGGATCGAGTGAGATTTCTAGTTTTCTTAGCTGGTTTTCGAAATATTTTGGAACGTTTGGTCTTCCCGTTGTGTTTGGTGGGAAGTGGGAGATGAAATTTTCTTGGGCTTTGGGTTCCTGCCTCTTTCCTTTCTTTCCTGGTGGAACGCTTTGTCTTCCGGGTCGATCACACGTTGCTTCAGGAAAGTGACATGCTGCTGCTCTTTTTGTTCTTGCTGGTCTTACACCATTTTCATTTCTTGCCTCTTTCCTAGACGTAACTTGCAAGCGCTTGACTCGTGATACTTTTTTTTTTTTTCCTGTAGAAAGCGACTTTGGTGCTCAATGCTTCGAGACGGTTTCGGTATACATTGGATTTGAAGCGCCAGGAGCAGCTACCGTCCGTGAATCGCTTCCGGATTGGCACGCACGCACTGAGGGCTGTCCAGAAATTCAAGGACGCAGCTACAAAAGTAGATCATCCTCCTCCCAAAGGTTATGGAGTTGGACCCGAGAAGCTTGTGCAGCTCGTGCAAGACAGAGATAACGATGGACTTCAGGCTCTCGGCGGTGTAAGTTTTCTGTTTTGTTTTTTTGTTGGTATGTCATTGAAAAGATGTCCTCGTATTTTTGTCTTGAATAACCAGATTACTGGGCTTGGAACGGCTTTGCACGTCAATTTGGAAAAAGGCATTGAACCCGATGAGGAGAGTGTCCAGCATCGGCGCGAGGCTTTTGGTGCCAACAGCTATCCGACCAAGGCTGGGAAATCATTCTGGGTATTGCCAAAGATTTGAACTGCTGGTTCTGATACTTTCTGTTTTGCTTTTCCTAAAGGTCTTTGTGTGGGAGGCTGCTCAAGATACCACACTTATAATTTTGATGGCTTGCGCTGTGGCATCACTCGCGGCAGAAATGAGCAGTGATGTACATTTTCTAGCGCGAACATTTTCGTCGAAGGCTGTATTGACCTTTTGCTTGTAGGTGAAAGAAGGATGGTACGACGGGGCAAGTATTGGCTTTGCTGTTCTGGTCGTCATCTTTGTTACAGGTATGAGCGTGTTACTTCATCTCGTTCTGACTCGTGTCCTATCTCAGCATTTAGCGACTACCGACAATCGCTTCAGTTTCGGAGTCTGAGTCAGGAAAAAAGGAACATACAAATTCAGGTGAACACCTGTTTCTTTTTTTGTTCTGTCCGCTTACGCAGTTAAATCACAGGTTGTTAGAGGGGGAAGAAGGTTTACGACTTCCATTTTCGACTTGGTGGTCGGTGACATTGTACCTCTAAATATTGGAGATCAGGTGCGGTACTTTTTTACTTTTAACTTTCCTTAAAGCTCCTCTTTACTAAAGATACTTTAGGTGCCGGCGGATGGGGTCCTTGTTTCTGGTCACTCTCTGTCGATCGACGAGTCGAGTATGACTGGTGAAAGCGAACCGGTAATACAAAAGTTTCTTGCTTCTTACACTTGAGACATTGTATTTGCCAGGTTCATGTAGATGGAAAAAGTCCCTTCCTGCATTCCGGCTGCAAAGTGGTCGACGGTTATGGTTCTATGCTGGTAATCTCATTTCCCGTTCTTCAATCTACACAAATATGCTTTACACATTTTGTTGTTCTTTCTACAGATAACTGGTGTGGGAATCAATACCGAGTGGGGTCAAGTAATGGCAACACTTGACGATGACTCCAGCGAAGAAACGCCTTTACAGGTTTGCTATTCTTTAATGTAGCGCTAATGCTAATACTCATGATTTAGGTTCGCCTCAATGGTATTGCAACATTTGTTGGTAAAATTGGTCTCTCGGTGGCAGTGTTGGTTTTTGTCATGCTGTTTGTACGGTAAGACTCTCAAATGTTCAGACTGGAGAGAAGTTGCTTATTACGGTGTTCTACAGGTATTTTGTGACGGACTTCCGGCGGGCCGCTGGTCCAGATAGGAGGTCAAAAGTTGTCTTCAGGAACATTGTGGACATTCTTTCTATTGCGGTATGTTTAAACTAGAGCTTGAAACTCTCACAGCTTTTATGTGTTTACAGGTTACCATCGTTGTGGTTGCTGTTCCAGAAGGATTGCCGCTTGCAGTAACACTAACGTATGTACTGATCTCATGTTTGTGTCTATCTTACTTACGTTTCCTTTATTTTTACTCTCTAGCCTTGCTTACTCTATGAAGAAAATGATGGCTGATAAGTCCCTGGTAAGTCCCCTAAGTGTTTTGTAAGTATGGTTTTGATTCATTTTTGTTACAGGTCCGTCATTTGGCTGCCTGCGAAACAATGGGATCTGCAACGACTATCTGCAGTGATAAGACCGGAACCCTGACCTTGAACCAGGTATGATTGTTATGACGGGAAAGTTATGGTGTTGACTTACCTTGCAGATGACTGTTGTCCAAACTTGGATTGGTGGAGGGTCTTTGGAAGCAGAAGCAGCGAATTCTGTCGGCGGAGAGATATCAAAGTGCATTATAGAAGGCATTGCTGAAAACTCCAGCGGGAGCGTTTTTGTTCCAAAGGTATTTAGCTATTTTCTTGTTGTATTGGGATGTTGAAATGTCGTTATAGGATGGAGGCGATCCGGAAGTCACAGGTAGTCCAACCGAAAAGGCCATTCTTGGCTGGGGATTAAAAGTATGTGAAGCTTTTACGTCGTCCTTACCGTTCCCTGACATGTATATTTTTGATAGGCTGGCATGAATTTTGAGGAAGTGAGGTCTTCAAATACTGTAATGCATGTGGAAACGTTCAATTCGACGAAGAAGCGCGCTGGTGTTGCATTCAAGGTACTTTCGATGATCATTTCTACACGGTCTGACGTTTATATGTTCTTGGTTTACAGCGTAAAGATGGAAATGCCTATGTTCACTGGAAAGGAGCCGCTGAAATTATATTGGACCTTTGCACCAAGTGGATGGGTAGTGACGGGTCGGAGAACCAATTGTCAGAAACAAAGGTCCGTGTTCTGAATTTTTATTGTTTGTGCCTTTGATGGGGAGCCTTCCTATGCAGAAAGTGGAGATACAAAATGCAATCGGAGACATGGCTTCGAGGAGCTTGCGTTGTGTTGCTCTTGCTTATCGACCCATCTCTGCCAACCAAATACCAGATGAATCCGAGTGGGAGAGCTGGAAAATTCCTGAAGACGATCTTGTTCTACTTGGTATCATGGGTATAAAAGATCCATGTAGGCCTGGTGTTGATGGTGCTGTGCGCCTGTGTCAGAAGGCTGGAGTAAAGGTACAAATCTTTGATTTGTGGAAACTTTGAACGAGTTTGTTTGGCAGGTTCGCATGGTTACTGGTGACAACCCGCTGACTGCAAGAGCAATTGCTCAAGAGTGCGGTATATTGTCTCCTGGTGGTCTGGTAGTCGAAGGGAAAGACTTCCGCAGTTATACTGATGAGGAGAGGCTGGAACTTGTACCTAAGCTTGAAGTACGTCTCCATGTTTCCCTGCAATCTCGGTAGATTTACTCTCTTGTTTCTTTCAGGTAATGGCGAGGTCGTCACCAATGGATAAGCTGCTACTTGTGAAAACCCTTCGCAGCATGAACGACGTTGTTGCAGTCACAGGAGACGGGACAAATGACGCTCCAGCGTTGCACGAGGTGGGTTTGGCGGTAATCATCGTAGACGCATTTTCTGATGATAAACTGTTATCAGGCTGATATCGGTCTTTCAATGGGCATCCAAGGGACCGAGGTGGCCAAAGAAAGCTCAGACATTATAATTCTGGATGACAACTTTGCATCTGTTGTCAAGGTAAGATAACAGCTTTTGGTGCGAGTCTGAAGGATCGAAATTCTTGCAGGTTGTACGCTGGGGTCGGTCCGTGTATGCCAATATTCAGAAGTTTATCCAGTTCCAGCTGACTGTAAATGTAGTTGCGCTGGTTCTCAACGTCGTGGCCGCAGCAAAGTCGAGCCAGGTTCCTCTTACTGCTGTGCAGGTGAGTCGGTATCTCTCGTTTCATCTGTTCAGTTTATAAGTCGTTTTCTACAGCTGCTTTGGGTAAATCTTATTATGGATACTTTGGGAGCGCTCGCTTTAGCCACTGAGCCACCTACAGACGACTTAATGGATAGGCCGCCCGTGGGACGCAGGTTAGACACGGGTGTCTTCTACTCGAGTTCTTAATGCGTGCATTTGTTTTGTTTCAGGGAGCCCCTTGTCACGAATATAATGTGGAGAAATATTTTCGTACAGGTATTCCGTCCTCTTTTGCTCTGGTACAGCTTTAATTTGCTCAACTCTCATGTAAATGACAGGCGATTTACCAATTATCTGTTCTTTTCACGTTGTTTTTCGGCGGTTTGAAAATCTTAAAACTCCATGGACCAGACGGCAACCGCAAACTAAATACCATCATCTTCAACTCGTTTGTTTTATGCCAAGTAAGTATCTCGTTTTTGCTATGGTCATTCATGTCGTTATCCTTTCTTTGCAGCTTTTCAACGAGGTCAATTCGCGCAAGCCAGACAAGCTCAATGTTTTCTCTGGCTTTTTCAGAAACCCGTTGTTCTGTGGGGTTGTGTCCGTGACTGCTGTGCTCCAGGTGTGTTGACAAGACTATTCCTTGCAGAAAACTCTCATCTCTTTTGTGCTGGCAGGTTATTATAGTCTTCTTCCTGGGAAAGTTTTTTAAGACAACGCGCTTGGGCTGGAACCATTGGGTGCTCTCGATCGTCGTCGGCTTTCTGAGGTACAGCTCCACTGGTCGCATTCGATTTGTTTAACTCGTCTTAATCTGCTGCTGCTGCTTTCAGTCTTGTGGTTGGATTTTTCGGGAAGCTCATTCCAGTACCGAAGAAGCCGATCATCACAACACACAAGGTTAAGAAGAAGCGAGCGCGGTCCAGTAAAGGTAGAAAACGTTTTGTGGAATCTCCCAAGTTTTTTAGCTTCGTTTTCTTCACCAGGATCGAAGAAGCCCCACGATCAAGAGGATGGACACGAGCTAGTCGAGAGAAATGCTTCCAACGAAGTATGACACGATCCATTCCACTGCTTTTTATCTCTTTCGTTCTTAAATTTTGTTGTTCCACTAAAGGGTAAGCTGTGAAGAAAACATATTCTAGTTTAAGCACGAGTATCTTCTTATCCTGTTTGTTGTGGTTTCCTAGTGTCCACGTGGCACGCGATCCAACGGCCACCCTGCCACGAGCATATACTCCTAGAAAGAACTTGGCATCTAAAGGAAGGCACGGCGCTTTGATTGCCCGCTGGAAGACGGACGATCGATCCATGGCACCGGATTGCAGCGACACCAGCGACGACGAGGAGGAATCCACAACGAGCATTAGCAGCAGCCAGAGATCGGGTCTAGGAGGATTAGATTCGTCGCTAGGATCAGCAGTAGCGCCGGGGGATGACGAAGTCCCGCGGATCCTCGCGTTGCTCGCGTCTGTTCTAGAGCGGCTGATAGCTAGGAACGAGCAGTACATGAGAGGCAGTAGCAATCGCGGCTCCAGCAGCGGGAAGTACCTCGGCATCGCCACGGCGAGGGGCGCCAAGAGTGTTTTTTCTGCCAGGAGTTGTTCGTCGCCGGGGAGGATCTTTAGCGGGCTCAAGGCGCCCAGCATTAGCATCGAGAAGTATCTGGAAAGGATCTTCAAATACACGAATTGCTCCCCGGCGTGCTTCGTTGTAGGTTATGTGTACATTGATCGCCTCTCTCACAAGCACCCGGATCTGCCCATAACGCCTTTGAATGTTCACAGGTTGCTCGTTACCAGCGTCATGACCGCCTCCAAGATCCTCGATGACGTGTAAGAAAAGATCTCTCTCTCTCTCTCTCTCTCTCTCTCTCTCTCTCCATCTCTCAATCCCTTCCTATTCTTCTTGAAATTTCCCAAATATCGATCGATTCGATTCCATTCCTGCTCAATCTTTTGTCACTTCGTTTGATGGTCGAATCGATTCCACTCCTGCTCAATGTTTTGTCACTTCGTTTGATGATCGAATTGATTCCACTCCTGCTCAATGTTTTGTCACTTCGTTTGATGATCGAATCGATTCCATTCCTACTCAATGTTTTGTCACTTCACTTGATGTTTCAAAGTTTCATCCTCCTCGAGCCGAGGGACGAAATATTGAGAAGGAATGGAATCGATCCAGATCTAGATCCGGGTGAGAAACACCGACAATTTCTTCTCTTTGTGATTTTTCCATGTTCTTTCTTTGAAATCTCTTCACATTTCCGATATTTCATCCCTTCTTCTCTCTCGATCGATCTCTCTAGTTCTTTCTTGACATCCTTCTCTCTCTGTGTGTGACGATTTGATCGATCTTTCTCTCCTCACAGGCACTTCAACAACGCATTCTTCGCGCGCGTCGGGGGGATCAGCACCAGCGAGGTGAACAAGCTGGAGCTGGAATTCCTCTTCCGGCTGGATTTCCGGCTGACCGTCACGGTCCAGGAATTCGAGAGCTACTGCAGCTATCTCGATCGCGAGGCGCGCCTCCCCAGCGCCAGGCCCGATCATCATCACCATCATCACCGATCAGGCTTCCCGGCGTTCGAATCGCCGCGATCCAATCCCAAGCCGCCGCTAGTCTTCTCCTTGTTCCAATGGAAGCCCTAGAAAACAGAGCAAGTAAAATTTGTTATCTTTTGAAATGCAATGCCATGGATTGGATTGGATATTTAGGGTTCTAGGCGACGCCGGCCTTGGCGAGGTATGTAATGCGGCTCTCTGATCGATAGCAGCTATGAATCTCCTACGCAAGGAGAGATCGCAGCGCTCTCTGCTGCGAAATTCCGTGCCGGCCGCCCGGCCGCAGGGATTCGAGTCGCTGGGAGCGTCTCTCTCGCTCGGCAACACCGCAAATTTCACTTTCCTGGCCAGCAGCGGCGTCGGCAAGGATGAATCCAGCTCCAGGCCGGGTGTTCGGTGTGGCGGCAGGGAGGAATCGCTCGAAATAAGCTCCAGATCGAGCGTCCGGGTCAGTGGCACGAAGAAATCCGTCGATGGCAGTGACATTGGAAGATTTGTGGCGGTTCTTAGCGTTAGCAAATGGACGGGTGGCATCAACAAGGAGCTCCAGCACAGAGTTTTGGAGAAGTTTAATGGCTTGATACGTCGGCATTGTGACAGGTTGCCACTGGCTTGCGTCGTCCAGCCGGGGACAGGGAATTGGGATTGCGGTGGTACCAACGTCAAAGACAATGCCTGTAGTGGAATGGTCGCTCCAGACCCGCACAAGAGAGTTCTCATCCTTATGAGCGACACAGGCGGTGGTCATCGTGCTTCTGCCGAAGCCATCAAAGCTACGTTTGAGCTCGAGTACGGGGACGAATATATTGTAAGTGGATGCTTGCTTGATTGCTTGCTTGCTTGCTTGCTGGTGATCCTACTCACTCTCTTCTTCTTTCTGCAGGTAAACATCGTGGACTTGTGGAAAGATCACACGCCTTGGCCGTTTAATCAGGTTCCCAGGACTTACAACTTCCTGGTAAAGCACGAGACGCTCTGGAAGTTTACGTTTCATGGGACCCGGCCGCGGCTTATCCATCAGACGAACTTCGCTGCAACTGGAATATTTATTGCTCGGTAGTATGTCTTTAGTTTTCATGGGACCTGACGCTTTAGTTCGTGGCAGGGAGGTGGCAAAAGGGATTTTAAAACATAAGCCGGATGTTATTGTCAGCGTGCACCCGCTTATGCAGCACATTCCTCTCCGGATCTTGAAGACGAGAGGTTTACTCGACAGGATTCCGTTCACCACGGTCATCACAGACCTGAATACCTGTCATCCTACATGGTACGTTGCCTTGCTCCATAAGAAATAACTGTCGGGTCTCCAATATAGCTCCTTTCAGGTTTCACAAGCTGACCACTGTGTGCTTCTGTCCTTCGAAAGAAGTTGCACAGAGAGCGCTTAAGGCTGGCTTGAAACAATCTCAGATAAGAGTGCATGGCTTACCCGTTCGGCCTTCATTTAGCAGGCCTACCCGTTCGAAGGTAAGTCTTGCTGTTCGTTCCGGTTCCTTTGCACTTAATTCGAGGAATTCGCAGGATGAGCTCCGGAGAGAACTAGGAATGGAAGAAGATCTCTCCGCCGTACTGCTGATGGGGGGTGGCGAAGGGATGGGTCCCGTTGAAGAGACCGCTCGAGCACTTGGTGACGCTTTGAAATGTCCGCATTCAGGCAAGCCCTTGGGCCAGCTGATTGTGATCTGCGGGCGAAACAAACGGCTCGCGAACAGGCTCAAGGCTGTGGAATGGTCTATACCTGTTCAGGTGAGCGTGTCTCATTCATTTGTCGTTTCAAACGTCATTTGGTGGTCGCAGATAAGAGGATTCGAAACGAACATGCAAGAGTGGATGGGAGCTTGTGATTGCATCATCACGAAAGTATGTATCTTGTGTGCTGTTCGTATCCGCCAGTTCTTGATTCTTGACACGCATGTCTGTATCAATAGGCCGGCCCAGGGACAATTGCAGAAGCTATGATTCGAGGTCTGCCTGTGATAATCAACGATTACATCGCGGGCCAGGTAAGTGTCGAGTTCTTAAAAACTGTTAGTGAACTCTCTTCTAAGAGGAGCTTTTCTCTGCAGGAAGTTGGCAACGTTCCATACGTGGTGGACAACGGCGTTGGCAAGTACTGCGAGAATCCAAACGAGATTGCGCTGACTGTGGCCGAGTGGTTCACAACCAAGAGAAAAGAGCTGGCTCAAATGGCCGAGAACGCATGGAAGCTTGCTCGTCCTGATGCCGTGTTCAGAATTGTGCATGATCTTGCCGATCTTGCTCATCAGAAGGGCCTTTTGACACAGCCTCAGGCGCTGGCTTTCTAGCGAGACTGAGATTGAGCTGTGGGAAATTTTCGAAAATCGAATTCAGGCGTCGAGGTATCCTACTTTTTGCATCGGGTTTTTGTCTTTGCTCTCATTTGGATTGCAGCAGATCAGAGGTTTTTGTTCTTCAACGCGAGGTGGGCTTTTAGTTGTCCCCTCGTGGGTTTCTAACTAAGCATAAGGTGCAAACTTTCGCGAGCGATGTGGCTCCAATGTCATGGCGAAGCCGCTGTTTCTTTCGAGGCTTCTGTACGTTACACCTGGGAGTTGAGGGAGATGCGACGCTATCCGCAGGTACTCTAAAGCAAATCCTCTCTAGTCTAGAAACTGAGAAAGTTGGCACCGGTGTTCTCTCCAGTCTCTTGTGGGCTTGCATCAACTCGAGAGCACTGGCCCAAGGCAAACGCGTCCACCAGCTAGCCCAACAAAAAGGTGGCGAGACGGAGAAGGCTCTAAGCATCCAGCTCGTCCAGATGTATCTCAAGTGTGGGAGCTTGGCCGACGCCAGAGAGGTGATCGATCGAGTAAGGATCGGGGATGTGGTGACTTGGACGAGATTGCTCGCAGCATATGCCCGGAACGGGGATTGCGAGCGAGCAATCCAGGCTTACCAGGAAATGCTCCAGGCCGGGGTGACGCCCAACAAGATCACCATCGTGACGCTGCTCAACGCTTGCGTGGAGCATTCGTGCCTCCCCAACACTGCCCAGATTCGCTCCAACGTTTTCGAGATGGGCTTTCTCTCCGACGCCGTCGTCGCCACCGTGCTCGTCAGCATGCACAGCCGGTTTGGGAGAATGGAGGACGCTTGCGACGCGTTCCGGGAGATCCAGAGGCACGACGTGGTCTCGTGGAACGCCATGCTCTGGGTGTACGCCGAGAATGACTTCAGGGAAGAGGCGATGCTTCTCTTCCGGGAAATGCAGCTAGAGGGAAGTTTGCCGAGCAAAGTTTCGTTCCTGGCGGTTTTCAACGCGGTTGCTGCTGCCGAGGACTCTCTAGAGGCCAGGGCGATGCATGGCTTGTTCTTGAGGAGTGGCATCGAGCAAGACTTGGCACTGGGAAACGCCATCGTCGACATGTATGGCAAGTGTGGCTGTCTCGACGGAGCGCTGGATGTTTTCCGCTCCATGCCGGAGCGGGACATCATCTCATGGACTGCCATGATCGCTGCTTTCGTCCAGTGCGGTGCCATGCTCGGGGCACTGGATTCTTTCAGGTTGATGCAACTCCAAGGAATTCGTCCAAACAAGGTGACTTTCCTCACGGTTTTGAACTCGGGGGAGATCCAGGTTCCACTCGGGGAAGCCGGGAGGATCTATGGCTACGTTCTTGAGTCAGGTCTGGATTTGGATACTGTTCTGGCCACCGCACTAATAACGATGTTTGGTAACTGCAGGGACGCTACAAACGCAAAACTGGTGTTTGATAGAGTCGAGAGACGAGATGTGGTCCTATGGACTGTTATCGTTGCAGCGTACGCTCAATGTGGCGACTTTGCAAAAGCCATGGAGCTCTTCTACGCAATGCAGCTGGAAGGATTTCGTCCCAACAAGGCCAGCTTGATCATCGTTGTGGACTCGCTGGGGAGCTTGAGAGCTCTCCAGGAAGGGAGACGGATCCACGAGAGAATCATGGAAGAGGAGCTGGACAGGGACTACGTGATCCTCGGAAACGCGCTCATCAACATGTACCTGAGGTGTGGAGACGTCGCCAGCGCCTGGGAGTGCTTCCGGAGGATGCCAGCTCGCGACGAATCGTCATGGAACGTCATGCTCGCGGCTTGCAGTGATGATCTTCGGCTGGTCGTGACGATGGTTGGCGAGATGCAGCAGCAGGGACTGTCCCCGGGCAAGATCACGCTGCTGGCGCTCATCAACTCGTGTGTCACGGCAGCCTCGACGCTCCCGGAGGCCCGGAGAGTTCATGCCCGCGTGGTGGAGGCCGGGCTGGAGCGTGAGAAATCCATCGCAAACGCGCTGGTGGACATGTACAGCAAGTGTGGCAACTTGGAGGCCGCGAGCAGCGTCTTCTTCTCGAGCCGGCTGTTTGAGCTCGACGACGCCGTCGCGTGGAACGCTCTGGTGCTGGGACACACGCAGCACGGCAGCTGGAACGAGGCTCTGGGATTGTTCTGGGCGATGCAGCAGCAAGGAGTGAGTCCCACGGAGGTGAGCTTGGTGGGAGTGCTAGCGTCTCTCAGCCACGCCGGGATGATCCAGGAAGGGTGCCGGGTGTTTGGATCGATGGAGGTGGACTATGGGATTGGTGCCGCGGCGGAGCATAGGGGATGCGTGGTGGATCTCTTGAGCAAGGTTGGATGGCTGGAGGAGGCCGAGGAGTTTATGAGAAGTGGATGTGGATCCCGGGAGGATTGCGTGGGATGGCTGACGCTGCTGGGGGCTTGTAACTTGCACGGGGACGTGGAGAGAGGATTGCGAGCAGCGTTTCGGCTTTTGGAGCTGGATAGTATCAACAGTGCTGCTCATGTCATCCTCTCCAACTTGTTTGCTCCTACTCAAGAAGAAGGGGCTGACAATATCTTTGTATTTAAGGGGAAGAGTTGATACATACTACCAGAAATCTATCGAGATATCTGGGGTCCATTACAGTACTTTCCATCGAGCGTTTTGGCAGCTGCAAACACCAAACCATGAGTCAAATATGTGAAAGAAACATCATATGACAGTATTGAAATGTTTGTTTACCTGCATTTGCAAGAGTGGCGCTAGAATCATCCCCAAGGGCCGTCCAGAACCCATATCCTCGTATTCCTTTGTTTTTCAAGTAGTTCACCTTCCTCGTCACTGACCACGCATCGTCGTAGCCAATCCAGGTAGTCCCACTGTACGCATAAGTGGAAACCGTGGTATCATTGTGAACCACGGTAGCACCACTGGACGCCAAGAAGCTCACAATCTGGGCAAACGTTGGGTTCTCCGGTAGTACGCTTGAGACTCCATTCGAAGGCGCTCCAATCCCATGGTTTGCTGCGTTGACCAGCTGCCAATTGTAACCATAGGCGGGAATTCCGTACACCACCTTTGACTTGGTCAGCGACTGCAGCCACTGGGTGATGCCATAGTCGCCGTTGACCGTGGGGTTTGACGGGTCGTACAGTGGCGCGGGCACGTTGGTGGTGGTCTCGAATGACGGCCCGTGGAAATCGTAGGCCATGACGAGGATCCAGTCCAGGTTTGCTTGGATGGACGCCACTGGGTACGTTGCGCCTCCCATCCAGGCCGGCTGTGGATTCGCGTAGAATGTAGCTGCGGCGAGGAGCATACCCGAAGGAGCTTTGGCGCGCCACTCTTGGAAGAGAACCCCAAGATTGGTCATCTGCGAGGCGTTGTTTGGATGCTCCCAGTCCAGATCAAGGCCATCGAAGCCATACGTCTTGGCGAGCGTAATCGTGCTGTTGATGAACGTGGCCCGCGAAGATGGCGAGCTCACCATGGCAGCAAACGCTTCCTTGTCACTGCTGCCACCCCCGATCGACAAGAGGGTCTTGACGTTTGGATTCTTGAGCTTGACGGTGGAGGCAAAGGACGAGATCTTGGAGTTGCCGGGATCCAAGGAAGCCGACGGAGCCACCGTGAAGGTCGTGGGGTTTAGATCCACGAATGCGTAGAGCAAGTGCGTGTAGAGGCACGAGTTGATTTGGGATGCCGGGGAGGAGTCAACGTACCAGTAGCCAAGTTTGACCGGAGTGATCGGTGTGGAAGTGCAAGCTCCGCTCTGGCAACCCTGGCCGCAGTATGAAGATCCAGTGCCGCAGAAGCCATATTGGCTGCAGCAAGAGGAAGAGGGAGAACAAGGCGCAAAGTTTGCCTGGATGCCACAGATCTCTTGATTGCACTGGCTCTGGCAGCCAGATCCACAATAGGCTGTCGTTGTGCCGCAGTAGCCATACTGGCTGCAGCACCGGCCTGGTGGACAAGATGCAAATGATGCTTGGGCACCACAATCCTGAGCTACTGTGAATTTTCCTGCTGACAATGTTAGAAGCAACACTAGAATGACTGTTGCCATGTTTTCATTTTCTCTTTGCCCTTGGTGATCTTAAATACTATATTTATCAAATAGACTTTTCTACTCAATCTAGTGGGCGATGCATGTGTAAGGGAAGCAACAGCTTTGAAAAACTCCTCCAGGATTTATTGGTGAGCGACTGCCAGCAAATCCGACACAATCTGCTTTTAATCCAGAAGACATAACGAAGATAATCACCATCATCAACACGGAAGCGTGTCTTCAGTTCTTCAAGACTCACAACTGGTTTTGGGTGTTGTTTTTTTCTCCATAGAGATAGTGATTGGAGAGTTAGCTTGGATTTGGTGTTGACAAATTATCAAGGAGTCTAATGGATTACTTTACTGCTTCCTTTATCCCATGAGAACTTTGGTAGACAATACAGCTAACATGCTAGACGTCACAAAAAATGAGAATCGCCAAAGCTTAAGAGAGACTAAAAGGCTGTTTGATATCTTACCAAGAAAGAACTTGGTGTTGTGGACTGCTCTCATATCCGCATATGCCCAATCAGGGCATCTCCAGCAAGCCAGAGCTCTGTTTGAGAAAATCCCACAGACAAATCTTGTGACTTGGACAGCCATGGTATATGCCTATGCTCAGGGAGGGCATCTCGATAGCGCAAGGGAAACCTTCGATCAAATGCCTGAGAGGAATGTTATTTCGTGGACTGTTATGCTTGAAGCTTACTCCAGCCACGGCCATCTCTTGGACTGCCAAGAGCTCTTCCAGGAAATGCCACAGCGCAACTTGGTTTCCTGGAATGCAATGCTAAATGCGTTTGTCAAATGTGGGGATAGCCTTGAAGATGCGGTTTTCTGTTTCAATAAAATGCCACAACACTCCTTGGTCTCATTTACAACTATGCTCGCTGCGTATACCCAATTCGGGTATTTTCAAAGAGCCAGAGAAACGTTTAACAGCATGCCTGTATGGGATCTAGCTGCTTATAACGCATATCTAGTGACATTTCAAAAACAAGGAAATTTAGAAATGGTCAGCACTGTGTACCAAAACATGATGGAAAAAGACGTAGCTTCTGTAAATATTCTTCTTACAGCATATGCCCAGGAAGGGCTCATTAAAGAAGCAATAAGCATTTTTAGAAAGGCCTTAACCAAGGACTTAGTCTCGTGGACAACAATCTTGGCCATCTATGGAACAGCTAGCTACGTTGACAAAGCAAGAGTTGTGTTTGACCAAATACCTCAGAAAAATATAGTGACCTGGAATGCAATGCTGGCATCATATGCCCAATATGGGCATTCCACACAAGCAATTTTCCTTTTGGATACACTCAAGCTCTACTTGTCTCCCAACGAGGCTTGTTTTACCTCTGGACTTCTGGCATGGAAGCACACTGGAAAGATTGGGGCAGCAATGCTATGTTTCCATTCCATGCAACACGACTTTGGCTTGGTACCGACAAAGCAGCATTACTGTTGCGTGGTTGATCTCTTGGCGAGGGGAGGATTTGTGGAAGATGCATGGGATGTTGTGTTAAATATGCCATTCGAGCCCAGTGGTTTGGAGTGGTCATGCTTGGTAGGATTGCCAGATCCCAAGTTTGCCTTCGTCACAGAGTATGCAAATAAGGCTGTGGAGCTAGAGCCAAAATGTGGAGCTGCATATGCCATGCTTGCTAGAACTTTTGCATTGGCGGCCCCTTGACCGGTAAAGCAAAGAATGTGAAGAGGTTTTGCTTTCTTCTTTTATGTTGTTCAGTTTCCTTTATAACGGCTCGTTCTTTTCCTATCTTCCTCTCCAAATGTACCCATCGATTAGCACTGATCGCTTGGGCAGGGAGCGATCAGTGGAGCTTTGGAGCTCATTTGGAGCTTCAAGTTAGACACCATGACAATCGCGGTTTTCTTCTACTTCTTCTTCTTCTCCTGTGTTGTCCTTTCCCATGCACGGCAGTTTCCAACCAAGCGATTTCATTTGGATCAAAATCTTACCAGCATGTTTGACACCACGTCTTTCTCTCAACACTTTTCAGTGGTGTGGGGATTTGATCACAGCGAAGTTTCGGAGAACGGTATGGAAGTCACACTCAAACTAGACAGCACATCAGGTACATATTAAGTTCCTCTCTCTCTCTCTCTCTCTCTCTCTCTCTCTCTCTCTCTCTCTCTCCTGATTTATCCATGGCTCAGGTTCCGGGATCAGGTCTCACAACAATTACACGTTTGGCTTCTTCAACTCGGCCGTCAAACTTCCGGCAAACTATTCCTCTGGAGTTGTATCAACTTTCTACGTATTGTTTTCAGAAAATTTTCATGTTTTCGCTTGCTTAAATTCTTTCTTTAAAGGTCTCGAATGAAGATAGTTTCCCTTTTACACACGATGAGATTGACTTAGAATTTTTGGGAGCAGCATCTGGGGATCTATACATCATCCAGACAAACATCTACAGCAATGGCAGCACGTCCACTGGAAGAGAGCAAAGGTTCAAGCTATGGTTTGATCCCACTGCCGGCTTCCACAACTACAGCATCTTTTGGACTCCTTATCACATCGTGTAAGTCTTCATTGAGAAAGAAAATGTGTTATTTTTCTTATAATCACTCACAGGTTCTTTGTGGATGATATACCCATTCGAGAAGTTCTCAAGTCGGAAGAACTGGGAGAAGACTATCCTCTGAAGCCAATGAACGTTTTCGCTACAATCTGGGATGCTTCTCAATGGGCCACAGATGGTGGAAGATCTACAGTAGACTACTCATATGCTCCATTTGCCACCGAGTACTCCAACTTGATCCTCAGTGACTGTCACTCGTCAACTTTAGCTGAGGAGTGTCCATCTGGAGCTTCGAGCGTGGTTCCCCAAGCATTGCTCAGTGAATCACAACACCATTTGCTACACTGGATTCGTGCTAACTATATGATATACGACTACTGTGAAGATAAATCCAGGTATCCACAGGCTCTTCCCGAGTGTCGATCTGGATAGATTTTAAGATCATGTGATGTAAAACTTTTATTAAATTATTTCATAAAATTGGCCACTCTCAAGACGAGCAGTTTTGACCTTTCCAGCCGATTCTTCGGTTCTCAACGTCATAAAACACCAGCTTATCCTTTAAAACGATCTCTGCAAAGTTTCAATCCTAATCAGAATTAAGTTTCATATGAAAAACTTTACCTCCAAATATTGTCAGGCCATCAGCTGATGACCATGCGTAGCAGTATCCATTGCGCTTCTAAAATATCACTAAGAACTGGCATTAACTAGCAGAATAACGAACCTTTTTAAGCTCTACCATCACCAGATAATTGTCTGGTTTTAGTTTCATTGTTGATCCTCCGCTGAAAGTAAGCGTCACATTTGGAAATGATGTTTCCACAGTTAATCTACACAAGAGAGAAACAAATGAGTTTAATTGTTCTTTCCATTCTCATTTTACCCTGATTTAAGGTAGAAGCATTGAAGTCCTTCCAGCTTAGGTCCCAGCTTTGCTGTAGTTAGGTTCTTAATCTGCGCAGCAGAAGTCTCATTAAACTCTGATAAAATAGCCTTCTAGTATACTTACCTCGGAGAAAAGAATTCGGTTTGCTTTAGTCGCGAGAAGTGCAAAACTCGTGCCACTGTCAATGATAACACCAGTCTCATTCGTGCTGTTACTAACATACGAAAACTCTTTTGAATCGATTGGAAGAACTTTTGAGTTGACCGAGATGCTGAGCAAGTCGACATTGTAGTGAGTCCTGATTGAGTCAGTGAGAAAGGATCAGATGATCAGCAAAGATGGAAAAGATCATATACAATCTTACGTGACGTTTAAGAGGGGAGTGAAAACCATCTCTGTTGTATTTGGTTCTTCGCCAAACTCGAGTATGCCACCACCGTGTTTCTCACCCCCTAAGCAATGAGAGAAAACTCTCGACATGTTCCTCTGGGTCGCAATCTGGTTGGGAACAGTCTTAGAAATCTGGCCAAATCCCATGATTCCATCCGCAGGCCAGCTTCCAGTAATGTTTATTGCACACCTGAACAAATGTTGTGTGCTTAAAGAGAGAAAGGAAAGAAAAGCAACGAACCCGAAGAAAATGTGTGAAGTCGTAGCATTTCCACCTTGAAGGACGTAGTGCATGTCATCCTTCACGTACGCACCAATCGAAGTTGACTTGTCCTGGTATGAAATGCCGTAGGCACAAGCGCTGTTGCTTCCACTACGGGAACAGACTGCTTGCTCCCCAGTGCATAGTGGATCTGAGCACGATGAAACGGAAGAAGTTGACGACGCGGAGAGATTGTAGATTGACAAAGGAGGCTGATGAGTTCAAACGCATTATTAAAATGCATAAACAAAAGCTTTCTTTTTCTAACTTACAATTATGTCCTGTTTTGACAAACAGGAGCGACATGGCGAGCACTTTACCCAGAGTATGTCGCTCCCGGTATCAACAATGACTTTAAGCTTCTGGACTGGATTTCCAAGTCCTATTTCAGTGTAGTAGAGCCTGACAGTAGAGAAGGAAGATATGAATGAATGGATTTAAGTTTGAGGAGCTTACCCAAGATCAGAGTAGTTTCCTTTGAGAGGGAAGCTTATCCCTTGGAGAAATCTCCCACGCCTGTCATTGTGCTCCACAAGATGTTGCAAGTGGTGCTTGCTCATGCCAAGGCCGAGCTTCTCATTCTGCTTGCTCGATCCTTCCAATCCAGAGTACCTGTGCTGGAGCTTGAGGATTCCAGCTCCTTCTCCAGCACCCAGCAGAAGTGCGAGAAGGAAACACAAATTGAGGAAAGAGTTCATCTCTAAAGAAAACACAAACAAAAATTCGCAGGGCTACTTTGCAGAAAGTGATCGCTTTTCAAGCTCATGCTTCCACAGTGGCTCGCTGAGACGACCTGCTCACGAAGAGGCTTCAACCAAGCCTCCACTTCCCTGTCAGGACGCGCAAGCAGACATGTGTAATTATTGGCCAAGCCTGAAGAGATTTGAGGCTGTGCTGATGTGATGACATGCTTCTGCCTGAATTAAGAACTTGTCCAACTGACTAAGTCACTAGCACAGTACTGACGCCCGAAAAAGTGCCCGGCTTCAACGTGGAGAAGAAAAGTTTGGAGAGATTCCTGTAGTTTAGTAGTTTTTCAAGCCGGCTTAAAACGCGCTGTTGTATAGTTAATTTATCTGGTGAAACAAAAAAGGGCCCTTGAAAACGTCCTAGCAGTAACTAGACTAGCCTGACTCGGAGAGATTTGATGGAATCTTAGCCTTGAGCAAGAGACAATAGAGCCCTGCTATGGAAAAAGAACCAAAGATTTCTTCTAAAGGTTCGAACTGCAGACCTTCAGTGTGTGAGACCATCATCTGCATCTGGACATCAAGTTAAATGCTGCGCATCACCACAAGCCTTAGAGCTCCTGCCGTGGGCATTCTCCTCCGGACATCGATTTCGCCTGAAGGTAAGGTGCTGTTCTGTTTGTGATCGATGATTGTCTCACGTCCATGGGCTGTAGAAAATGGAAAGGTTTTTGGATAAAACTTTCTTTATGCGCCCTTCTTTCTTGATGCATATTTTCGCTGAAAACGAGAAAATTCTTTTGCAGAACGGACTTTTTGATTTTTCATTGTTCAGAGTAAACACAGGTCCGTTTTGCTTGAGCAAGTCGTCTTTCCACCAAAAGTCCTTGTTCTTTTAATTAGTGTGTGGCCTACGAGAGCAAGGTTCGTTCTTTGACTTTTGAACTTCGAAAGAACATTGAAATATGAAAAGCACCAGCGGCAATGTGGACGGATCACGGTCGGCCAGCCCGCAGTTTCCGGCATTCTTCTTTCCACTTCAAGATGGACGGGTTGGTGAGTTACATCTAGACGTCTTTGGAGGTATCGGTGTAGGTCCGATTTTCCGTTCGAACTTGGCAAGAAAACGGGACGGAGACTACGTACATGGTCTGCCTCTCTTCTGGGCAAGGGCACTTCAGATTGAAGAGTCCATCTCTTTCGTTGGACGATATGGTGCGGCAGCAGAGCGGTTCTTCAGCTGTGGCACGACTTTGAGTTTCAGATTCGTGCAGTATATTGGGAGTATACAATGCGACTTCCATGAAAAGTTGCTTATGTGAGAGTGGAATGGCAACGCTTTATAGTCAATTCGAGGAGGTCTCGAGGAGGTTTCGAGGAGGTCTCGAGGAGCTATCTCTGGTAGTCCCTCGCAAGAACCGTGACTTTAGAAGATGTGAAGTATTTCTCACAGTGGAGACTTGCTCGAATTCATCGTAAGCATGTAGTTCTCAAGTTTTTTAGTGTGTATATTAACTTAGGTGGAAGAAGTGCGATCAGTCACCAGGTACTCCGGAGCTCTTGAGGTACCAAGTCATTCTTGTGATTGGCACTTGTACAAGTCAATCGGATAAAAAGCTTCTGGCACACTTGTCAGCCGGCTTTCACCATACCAGGCGAGGTTTACAGGCCCAGCTCACTTCCAGATCCCTGTAAATGTGTTCAGAGTTCGGCTGGGATCAATAAAGGCATGGTTTTGATCAGATCACAGTGCTCCAACACTTGTGCATGGATGAAACCAAGCCAGCACCATGCTGGAGATTGCGTCCATGAGCCATGAGCCAGCTCAAGAAAGAGACACTCAAGTCTTAGATTACTTATAAGTTAGTTGGATGCCAATCTTTATTAGTAAAAAAAAGTGTATTTTAGGAGAGGGAATCAATTGGGATATTCCTACTACAAGTCCAATTTAGGCTTACAATTAGGGAACGGTTATGCCTTTCTTATTAAAACATTTAAAGTGTTTAATAGTGTTTAACAATATTCACATGCAATATGGTGCCTTTGAGCTTCTGAGAGCATCCCAGAGCAACACAATAATTATGAGATAGTGATCTTGAATCTAAAAGTGTTCTTAAGAACCTTTGAGTAAATTTAATCAATAGAAGAGTGTTTTGGTTTTTTTCTTGCAAAAGTGTGTGATAGTGGGGGAGTTCAGGGCAATTGTGCCTCGGAGCCTCCATCCTATGATGGCTTGTAGCTGACCAATGGAAACACAATGGCCTTAAGTGGTCCCTTCTCCTCCAAATGCACTTCATCATCCTCTCTTGTGTAAGATTATTTCTGTGCAGAATCAAGGCTCCCAGATCAATTGATTAGTCTTTCAGCTACTAAGTGAGTTGATTATACTTGGATTATGCAGTCTCACCTAATGCCATTAACAGTGAGTTTGTGGTAGAGTGGTTGAAGCCTCCAGACCTACACAGAATGATAAAAGGGCAGCAAGCAACCATGCAAAGTCGTTAAAATTCTACATATAAGAAATAACCAAACTAAACACTTATAACACACCAACACATCATGCTTTATGATTACCATGCATCCTTCTATAAGGCCAGAGGGCCTCAAGAAGTGGGATTTGAGAAAAGGAGTGTGTGGAATGCTGCAGAAAAAGATATTTACCTTAGGAGGTAAATGTGAAGTTGTGGAGAAATCAAGGATTCAATCTAGAGAATATATGAGAATAAGTTTTTTGAGTTTTATGCCTAAGAAGTCACTTAGGTGGCCAAACTTGAGCTTGAAGATTCCCAAAGCAAGCAAGATTATAAAAATCAATAGGTCAGAAGGATGTTGTAGTTGAATAATTGCAAGAAGAGGTCAAAGGCCTTATCACCAAGCTTGAGTTTATCATGGTGGCCCTTTGTAAAATGGTGGCAAAATCAGGGCTAAACACTTGACAATGTAAATGTATGGTTTGGGACTACCCTAATGATAGAATAATTCATTTACTAATATTGCCATGATTAGAAGTAGTATGGAACCAAAAGATTCTACTGTTATAATTGAGAATGAAAAAGAAGATTTACAGTTGCATTCTGTATAAGCTCAAAAGCAACATGCATCATAACATATAATCTTGGCCTTGAAGGTGGATTGAATTAAGATTTGATTCAAGGAATGCCCAAAGTTTGGATATATAAAACTAAGGTAAGGTATTTATAGTGTCTTATGGCATTTATGACAGTAATTTTAGGAGGGATGGTTGCTGAGTAAAGCATTTTCTGCCTATACTTGTATTTTTGCCTCTGCTTGCAAAACAAAAAAGAAGATAAAAAGAATGAGAAGAGAATAAAAAATAACTCAACTTTAAACTTTAAAGGCATGAGTAATGTCACTCTCTTAACTCTATTTTGCATAAATAATTATAAGCAGGAGAAAAGATAGTTAATTTAATATAAATACATATAATAGTGAGTGGGGGTTATTTTTTAGCATGTTTAAGTGCTACTTATATACTACATAATTTTATAATAGTTTCTAACTACTTTTCACCTAAGTTAGGTCTTTCTTTTTTGGATGACTAAGCTTAGGCATAACTCTATTTCACCTAAGGTTTCTTTTTTTGTTTTGCTTGAGATGATACACAAAATAAAACATTTACCTCTTCATCACTCCCCACGACAAAATTATGGTTTATCCTCAAGCAGTCAGATTTTCTAAATCCTGCTTTAGATTGTTAAGCTTGGTCTTTATAGTGACAAGCTCAACACTTTGGTATAGATCCTCGAGTTTTTGACATATGATCTAATTCTCTTGTGAGCATAGTGATGCATTGGTAGTGGTGGCTAATGCGCATTGCATTTGTAAATGTGGAAGCCAAGATTACACTCTTGAGCTCTTGGATTATGCGGCGCTGATAATTCTGCTCGCCCATAACTCCATCCACTTTCTTGGTGATTGCCTTGAGGTAGCTCAAGACATGTGTGCGGTATTTTGTTGTTTCTTCATCTTCTACTGATTGCATCGGCTTGTCAATTGGCTACTTGCCTCCTCCCTTGATGTATTAAGCGAGCTCCTCCATAAAACTTTGGATTGTTGGCTTGCTAGGCTGACTTACAGACTTATGTACGAAGGTGTGGCTAGCCTTGATATTGTAGTGTTGCTGCGGCATCTTCTACTACTATGGCTGCTTCAACTCGTTAGACTTGTTGGCTGAGGGTATGTTGCTGTAAAATGTGTAAGTGGATTGGAGAAAATTTAGCCCATACTCTTCTGGTTCACTTAGACCCTTTTTTGTAGCCTTGTCTTCTTTGTCTTGTTGAGTTTCTTCGCTATGATCTTCTTGGCCGTGATCTTCTTAGCCTAAACTCACCTTATTGATTGTGTCTACAACTAATGGTTTTGCAACATCTATAACCACATTGTGTGTTGGACTTTATGGCCTAAGTTTTGGATTTTCTTCTACAACTTCAGCATCCATTGTTTGCTTAGTGTTGTTTATGTGTGTACTCATCACTTCTCTAATGCTCGGAGAGAGGCATAAAAGTTGTCTCTATAAACATAGATAAGTCACGACTCTATTCTTGATCCAAGCATGGTGTTTTATCACTGTACTTGCTGTGTCCAACTTTTCTGCGGTAGAATTTCTATAGAACAAACCCTAGAGGTTTTGTAGCTTGGATTTTTGGATTTAGATGGAGTTTTTAATTTAAGGGAGAATTTTCCTCACTTGAATATGTGTCATTAGGATTTTTCTCCATATCCATATCTCTTGCTATCTTTCTCAAAAGAGATACTGGAGGTGGTGGCGCAATGGCAAGGTGAGGCAAGGGATTCTTCTGAGTAGTGTAATGCTCGTAGATATGCTGCAAAAAGATGAAGACTCCCATCTTCACTTACTTTCTTTTACCCACCTATAAGGTAATATTTTTCATTTTGGCCACAAATCCATTATAAGCAAAATGAGGTATATTTATTTACCATTCAGTCTTAATAGTAGTTGAGTTATTTTAATGTTAGTATTTTGCACAATTGTCCTCCCATTGATGATGGCACACAATACCTTAAACCTAGCATGATAGTCAAGCTTCAAGTAGTTGAAGTTGCCTTCTTGTTTGGATGTGTAGTTTGGGAGGACATATTGATCAGGCATGCAATCCTTCTTGCTCATCATGATTATTTCACCCTTTTTGTCTAGGGTGAGTCCAAAGGAATGGACTCGACCGCGGAAAAGAAAAACATGCTCCATTGGGTA